AGTATATATGTGTCAGAGGTGGATCTGGAATCCAGGGTCTTCTTTGCTTAGAGATTAGTTCGATAGCCACTAACCCAGGATACCTCTTTTCTTTCTAAAAAGTCTACAAGCAACTTTTGTTTTTTTCCTTAAGGGTTAACAAAGATAACCTAAATAGTTTGTTTGCTATCCAGTGGTTTCCAACTCTTTGTGATCCCCTTTGGTGCTTTCTTGGCAATGATACTTAAGTGGTTTGCCATTTCTTTCTCCAGTTCATTTTACAGATGAAGAAACCAAGGCAAACAGATTTGCCTAGGGTAACATGGTTAGTAAGTGTCCAAGACCAAATTTGAACTCAGTAAGATGAATCTTCCTGATTCCAGGCCCAATATGCTATCCACTATGCCACCTGGCTGACGTGTCTAAACAGTACCTTGTTAATAACATTGTGATACTTTGATATTAATGGAGTGCTTTTCTGACATTAGCAAGCTGAGTCAGGTAGTACAAGCATTATTCGCCTCATTTTAACCTCTAACCTCATGAGGTTAACTTGTGCTAAACTGGTAAATGTTAGAGCTGGGTTTTCAATCCAGGCTACCTGATTTCAAACTTAACCTTCTTTCCATTATACTCCATTGCTTCTAACCTTATGGCTATTTATCTTCTTTAGAACCTTAAAACAGTCTACCCTTCGCAGAAGGAAGGGGATTGTATGGACTTTATCTGATTTTTTTTTTAAAAAAAAGATTCTAAAGCCAGAAGCAAATTACTTGTAGGAAATGTCCTGAAAAATAAGGGGGTAGAATGAGTTTGTAGATTAATACAAAATTAGTAGGATCTTTAAAGTCCCATTGTCAGAAGTCTTTAAACAGTGACCCAGGATCTTATATGCTAAAGCCTATGCTTTCTGAGAATGTGCATGAAAATGTGATGATGAAATCATACAACATTCTTTAGCATTAATATAAGATCTCAGATCTGTGATACTCTGAGATCTAGGTTTATGTACCCCATTTTATTGGAGAAAACCAACACATTGCTAAAAGATGGCACAAGCAGAATGAAACTAAGAGCTCTCACCCAATTCACCTAGAAGGTTCATGCTTTGTTCACTGTTGAACCAAGAGATGAAAATTCAGAAAGCTGTTTTTTCTAAGAATTCAATGCAATTCATCAACCATTTATTAAGTGCTCATTATAAGCAAGATCTTATGTTATTTGCTGGAGATAAAAAATATGAAATAGTTCCTGCTCTCAAAGAGCATATATCTTATTGGAAAATTTTAAGATGTTTCTGTGGTATCAATGTGGCATTAAACCCTAAACAAAGATAAAAGTTTCTGGCATCAATTGCTGAACAGTTTTGTTGTTTGCATGCTACCAGGGCAATATTATTTACCATCACCAACAAGCAGAATGTAACTAGTCTATTAGTAAAAAAAAAAAAAAGAGTAGATGGTATGTATATGACATATATTAAATGCAGATTTTTCTCATTTTGTAAGCACTCAAATATTTACTGTTACTGGGGTGAATTTTTTAAGAGATGTATATTTGGCTTATATAATAAAAATCTAATTTAATTGAAATAGAGATCTGGATGCATTAATCAAAATATCCAGTTCCCAATGATATTTTTTTTTTTATTTAGAGAACAATGAAACAAGTTAAATGTGGACCGATGGGTGTATTTAAAATTACTGAGGGTTATAACAGTGAAGAAGATGAAAGAAAATTATGATTCAAAATAGAATGAATCTTATTCGTCTCAACATATAGCCAAATCCCAATTATCCTGGTTAATAGCTAGAGTTGAAAATAAGTTTTAATGTTAAAACAAAACATAATCATGCAAATTTCATTTCTGAATAATTATGATATTAATAATTAACACTATTAATTGGTATAGTATGTTATGCTTTTCAAAGCACTTTCACATGGTTTGTCATTTCATCTCCTTAGGACCCTCTCAGTCCCAACACACCCACCCACACACCCATACATGCATGCATGCATATACACACACAGAACCATATGCTTAGACAATGCAACATTTTCTGTGCCCAGCCTTGACTGCCCTCCTGATTTGGTTCTGCTGTCAGTAGACTAGGACCCAGATGGGTGACATAAGGGAGGAGGTTACAGGTCTTCTGTAAGTGATTCATTAAAAAGATAATCTGATCACTGATAATTGAGAATTGGCTGTGTATGCTCTCCTTTGACCATCTAATCCAAAGTCATTTTTATAAAAATTTGGACTTAGTTGAGAGTGTCAAAAGTCCTAATGTAGGATCATTTGTATTCCGTGTGTTTTATTCTGACAGTGATATAAACCAGATAGTTTACTGACAATTCGGTGCTACCAGATACCAACTAAGGCCTTCTGTCCAGCTTTACATTGTCAAATCTCATGAAAACACGAGGAATTACAAAGCCTTAGAGGATGGTGAAGTTTAGCTTACAAAAGACAAGATGGACAGATTTCATATTTTCATTGCAGATGATTTTTTTTTTGCCTTTTCATACTGCTGAGCATATTTTTTAAGGCAGGAAATGCAACTAGTGTTTGTTTCTAGTGCTGCTTCTGTTTTCAGATTTCTTTTCTGTAGGAAAAATGTGTTGCCCAGCTGTCTAGAATCCCAATCAGGACATACTTCCAGCACAAAATACATTGCAGGAATGATTTCAGCTAATTGAAAAGGAAACAAAAATGAAGCTGGGCCCAGTTCATGCTTTTTTTTCCCCTCAGAAAATACTCTTACCAAATTGGGCCAATATGAATAAAGTTAGTGACAGCCATAGAACTTAAACCTTTTAGGGACTTTAGAAATCATTTAGCTCAAAAGGTTAAGTGACTTGTATAAATCTATACTGATAGTAAGCAGCAGTTCTAGGATTCAAAGCCAATTCTTTTAAAGGAAGACCCAGCCCTTTCTATTCAACTTTGACACTTCTCCCTCACAAGGCTGCTTCTCCAGGTTGGAGAGCAACTTGTTAAAGACAAAAGATATGAATGTAAAGGAATGCTACTATGCTAGAAAAAATAATAAAAGAGAAGATTTCAGGGAATTCTGGGAACACTTGGATGAACAGATGCAGAGTGAAGTAAGCAGAATCAGGAGAACCATATGCACATTGTAGAGGAAAATAACTTTGAAAGACTTAATTCTGACTAATGCATTAACTAGCTCTAACTGCAGAAGGCTCTCCTCATCCTGAAAGACAGCTGATAGACTTAGGGTGCAGAATTAAATGTGTGTGTGTGTGTGTGTGTGTGTGTGTCCAATGTGGGAATTTATTTTGCTAGAATATGCCATGTTTGTTATAAGGGTCCTTCTCCCCTCCACTGCACATGAGGAGAGGAGGGAGAGAGAACATAGATTTTTGTTAATTCAGAAACTTAAATTTAATGTTAAAAAAAGACAAAGGCTCACAAAGGTTAATAAATACTCAATGTTGACATGTTATGTTGTTTAAAGGCTACCAAATGCTAAGAAGCATGTTTTAATTTAAAGGGTAGATCCAAGAAAACTCTAGAGTTTTCTCTATGGAGGAACTCCAGAGTCAAGTGGAAGTCTCCTAAACCTCAGACTTTTCTCCTCCCACTCCTCTCTCGCTCTTCCAACCCTCCAAACCCCAACCCACACACACCCACCCACCCACCCACATTTATACACACCTACCCACAACCACACACACCCCTAGGTATGTACTACATAGATATTACTTGTCTCTGGTGCTTAGGTTTAGACTCATCATAGCCTTTGTCCATCCCAAAGACATGTCAGACAACACTAGCTTCTCCTTCTAATACTAAATTTAATAGAATACACCAGAGAACTCTGACAATCTTCTTATCAGTAAATACATTCAGTGACTAACCAACTCCTTTTGGGGACAACAACACAAAGAGGTAAGTCAAGAACAACGACGACGAATACGTAGCGTGTTTAAAGACGAAACAGCAGTTTTCCTAGAACTCCATTGCTTTGCAATTTCTTTAAGATTCCACATCTCAGCTTATGAATAGACCTTATCCATTATATGCCCAGTGACGATGATCTCTCATTTATATACCTTGCCTGGTTTTCTCTGTCCATCTACGATGTTTACAACAATTACCCAACTGGAATGTTATCTTCTTCCACTGATTATTTTCCTCCAGTATTCCCATAATCAATAGAATCATCACCAAGTGTGGCCAGTATCTAAAAGACCATTATTCTGTTTTGCTCCATCAAGGTTTTAGTGTCTAGGCTGCTGAATATCCTTGGGAGGGAGAGTGGGAAGGGGAAAAAAAGGAGGTCCAGAATTTTTGGCCAAGTTTATTGTGAATTTCTAATAGATTTCTAGATGGGTTATATTCCAGATCTGAAAGCAGTATGTATGAGTGTTTTATGATCAGAATACTTTTAGGTATATTTATGTTTCCTTATTACTGCCAATAGACAATCATAGAAAAGTTATCAACTTCTTGATTTCTGATGAGTAGAAACAGAGTTTAAAAAAGACAGAAATACAAAACAGAAAATTCCATAAGTTTGATGAAAATGAAAAGATATTTTAAAAAATTAATTCTAATTTCAAGATGTTTAAGTCTCCTTGGTTTTCTCCATATTTCCAAGTTTTATGATCCTATTCCTTATCTTTCTGAACTCTTACATACGCTTCCAATGTATATTTCATTATTCTTTTTTTAAAATATAGTCCTTTTCTCTCTTATTTCTCCTCCTCCCAGTTTGTCTTACTCTGTTCATTATCCTTTTTATTTTGTCACCACCAGTTGATCTGTACTTTTCTATCTATCATCCATTTTTAGCTCTCTATTACCCTCCCCACCCCCACAAACTGCCCATTATGCTTTCCCTTTCTGGTTAATTATTCTATGTACTTCTTTAACTTTTCTCTTTCTTTCCCTTCAACTCATCAACTTATATCCACTGCCTATAGCAGAGTCTGAAATATTGTTAGTGATGGAAGAGCACTAAAAAAATGACTGAGGGGAAGGAATCACTTACCTTGATTGACAATAAATCGTAGCTTCTGTATTGTTGCCAGATTGCCACTAACTCGATATATTCCATCAACATCCAGACCTGGAAACAGAGGTGCATATTTCATATGGGCTTATGAAAGCACTTGCTATAAGAAGTGAGTGACAGAAAAACAACAATGAAAAAATGTATCTGAATGAATGTGAGGGGAAATGATACAGTGAATCTCTATCAAATGTCTTCTTCCTTTCAGAAGAAAAATAATAAAATCTGGCATTTTAGCTCTGCCTGCAATAATAGCAAAATATAAACATATGTAAAACCAAAGGAAGCTAATCCTAATTTTATCATTTTTCAGAGTTATTTTAGGCATTTCATCATTAATTAATCTGAATGTTTAATAGATGTTTGGGATGGTAGTAGACAGTATGGAGTTACAATGAACATGCTAACCATAACTCTTCCTTGGAAGAAGCCTGGAATTCAGTCAGGGATTTACAATCAAAACAGGGCTGCCAGGCATATGCGTGTTACGCCCTCTTGTGGAAAGCCAAAATAACCCAAGGGTTTAGTTCTATACCAAAGACAGCAAGAGCAGATACTGGTGTAGGTATTTGAAGACACAAACTGGAAGTCCTATTCCGGATATTTAATATGATGATCTAGGGTGTTAAAAGCACTTAATGTTCCTATGCACAATGATCATTTAAAAAATCCCCTTTCCCCCAAAAATAAGCTCACCAAGAAGGTGGATGTTGGTTTTACATGACTCGAGAATTGATTCCTGGTAATTGAAAACCAAGTGAATTTCACGCGGCGGTATACTTGATAAATTAAAATTTTCGTGTATATAATCACCATGGTATTAGGCCTAAGTAATCAAAGAGACTGAGGAACGAGGGAGGAAATCCACACTCAAACACTAATGTTATCCCTTATAGCATGTGTGACACAAATAACAGAGTTCAGATTTCATAGCAGTAGTCTCTTAGTGGTGCCTGCTCTCCCAACTACAAGCAATTCAGAATTCAGGCTTGACAAAGCCTTTCTGTGCCGTGAAATATTATCTAGAATGACATCAATATTTCCATATTCCTACGTGTTTATTATTTGGCACATTTCCTTGATTTATAGATTATTACTTGCAAACCATTTTGGTATCAGGCTAAGGAGGGTATTTGGTTATATCATCACTGTTTCTACGACATAACTTAGCAGAAACATCTCATAGAATTTCTAAAGCACAGATTTCCACTTCGGGTATATGCTGCAGCTAAAGTTCTACTTGGGGTAATGTTAAGGAACAACTATTAATGAAGTCAGCTAGGTGGCATACTGCATAGAGCACTGGGCCTAAAGACAGGAAGACCTGAGTTCAAATCTGGCCTCAGACACTTACTAGCCGGGCAAGTCACTTAATCCTGTTAGCGTCAGTTCTCTCATTTGTAAAATGCACCGGAGAAGGAAATGGCAAGCCACTCCAGTATCTTTGCTAAGTAAACACCAAATGTCATCACAAAGAGTCAGATATGACAGAGAAAAGACTGAACAATAAAAAATTAGTGAAGTCATATGGTACGTATGTATGTAACTCTGCATGTGGTCCTAGTACATAGACTTTTCATATATTATTATAAGGTAGTCTCTGTATGTTCCTTAGAATAGCAATTTTGTGAAGATATTGACTGAGGCTATAGGCTAGGAAATGAAAGGAGTATATAATTTGCTCGTACTCATTGGGAAATACAAGCAATATTTATTATTGATATTATTGATAGGTAGTAATGACTAATATACTAAGGTGCTACCAATGTAAACAAACATGTATTATGAGTTGCTTATAGATGTACAAATACGATTCCACTCAAAATTTGCTAGTAATTATTTCAGATGAAAGTAGAAATTTGGTCTTTATTTTATCACATTTTCCCCCAAACTTTGACTCATTGATTTATATTGTGACTATAAAGTAATAAGATAATTTCTTGTATGGTTCAAAAGTTGGGTCAGAAAACAAGAGTTACAAAGAAGAGTTCCTTGTATGTTTGAATATTGATCCTATTAATTATTTATCTACTTTTAATTTGAATAAACAAGCACTTATAAGGTCCTATATAAGAAACTGTGTTAGGTGTTAGGGATACAAAGACAAAAGTGAAAAGAGTTCCTGTTCTTAGAGAGTTTATATTCTAGAAAGAGGAATCACCATGTTGTTATTTTATTGTTCATCCATTTCCAAAGAGGACCAGTGACATTACAGGGGATGTCTTGACTTGTGCATGAATTGAATTTAAGTGAGACAGAATTGCACAAAGTTTTAGTCTTACTCTCTCTTCCAGAGCCATCAGAGTCTGGTGGCAAGACACAAGTCAAGACAAATGGTGATGGCCCAGGAGGCAGTGGACGACCTTGGTATCTTTAATGTCTGATCAAACTCTAAGGACTCCACAATGCCTGTTTCAGCTGTCTTCATGGCCATTGGAACAAATCGTTCTCATCTGCCCACTCCACAGGGTGAGGGGAGGGGGAAACCTTCACATGCTTGGGATAGATATCCCCCTAATTCACCAAAGAGTTTTAGGCCTGTTGGTTGCCATAGCAGAGAACAGTTATCAAATTTATCCATTATCCTGGTTTTCTTTCAGTGCAAAGAAATCTGATTTTTTTTTAGTAAATATATTGATTTCAGTTCAATTACTAAATATATATTATGTGCAAGGCACTCTGTCAGTACCAAGGGCAGGGGGCAGTGGGTAAACAGCAATGTAAAATAAATTAGAGGCATATTTCTAAATGAAACTACATAAGAATTTTGGCAAGTTTGCATTTTTTCATCATGTAGCAAAGTATAATCAACACCTTTATATAAAGCAAGAAAAAAATACTAATTTTGATTCAATAAGCATTATATGCCCATAATGTAAAAGGTACTGTCTTAGCCATAGGCAATATAAAAAGACAAATGAAAAGGTCTTTATCCTGAAGAAGCTTACTTTTTCCTAGACATATATTCCATAAACATAGATTTACAAAGTCAACACAAAGTATGAGCTGAGCCTTGAAGTAATTCTGAGATTCCAAGAAGAGGAGATGAAGAGAGAGAACATCCTAGATATGGGAGACAACTGTACAAACTCATTAAAGTAGTAGATTTGTCATGCAGGGAGAATAGCCTGGAATTTGCCTGCAATTCTGCTGGGGTGGGGTGGGAAGAGGAATGTGAAATCACTCTGGAAGTATAGGTTGGAGACAGATTGGGAAGGGCTTCCAGTGTCAAAGAGAAGAGACATTGTATTGGAACCTAGAGGCAACAGGAAGCCACTGAAGCTTCTTGAGTAGGGTAATAACATGGTAAACTTTTTATTTTTAGAATTACAGTTTGACAGCAGAGTTGTGGATGGGTTTGAGAGGGGAAAACTTGGGGGCAGGAAAATTCCTTCAGAGATTTTGCAATAATTAAGGCAAGAAAAATGAAGGCCTGAAGTAGGATGGTAGTCATATGGATGGAGAAAAGAGAATGAATATAAGCAAGAATGTGGAAGTGGAATAAGGAAATCTTCACAACTGATTGGAGATGGGGAAGGGAGAGAGAGAGAGTGAAGAGTTGAGTATAACTCTAAGGTTGCAAGCTCAGAGAACTGAAAGGATGATAGCCATGATGGATATATGGAAATTAGGAGGAAGGATGAGTTTTAGGGTGGAAATAATGAGTTCTGTTTTGTTGAATACAACAAACCTGTGGGATATCCAGGTGGAGATTTACTAAGAGGCTGTTGGTAATATGGGACTAAAGCTTAGCAAAAAAGATAATGACTGCATAGGTAGATTTGGGGACCATCTCAATGGAGATAATAATTTCAACAGAGATAATAATTTAACTTATGGGAACTGATGAGATATCTGAGAAAGAATGTAGAGAAAGAAGAGAGCCCAGGATAAAGCCTTGTGGGACATTCACACGTAAGTGACATGGATGATTATCCAGCAAAGAAGAATGAGGAGAGTCAGATAGTTAAGAGTAGAAACAGAAAGAAGCAGTGTCATGAAAAATTAAGAAGGAGAAAGATTAGTTTCCAGGGTGAGGTGGTCACCAGCACCAAAAGCTACAGAAAAATAAGTAATGGTGAGAAGAGAAGGGGAAAAAAGTCATTGGATTTAGCTATTAAGATATTGTTGGTAACTTTATAGATTATTTCAGTTGAACGGTGGGTTAAGAATCTATATTTCAATGAGTATAAAAGTGAGCAAGTAGATTGAGGAACTGGAACTATGAGTGTAAATTTTTTTTTCTAATTATATCATTAAAAGAAAAAGAGATGAAGAATTTAAGGATTATACAGTGAAATGAAAGGTTTTTATTGCTTTTGTTGTTTAAGGAGATCTGGGTATGTTGAATGGATTAGGAAAGGAGTCAGTAAATAAAGAGTGATTGAAGATTAGACACAGAGTCATAGATAGAGACAGAAAGAGAAGATATGATTAAAATGACAAATTCTCAGAGGAGATATGGATGTTATATCATGGGCACATTTAGAAGGGTAAGGAGACACCTTTTAAAAACTAGAACAAAGGAAAAGGATAAAGAGGGATGACATTGATAGGATTCAAAATAGTATTAACTCTTAGAACTGAAGTAGAGGTAGAAAGATAATTAATAATTTTCTAATTGTTTATCTCTTTTGCAGGAAGTTGTATATAGTCTTTAGTCATAATGCACACCTATACTAGGTGTACACATAGTCACATCCATACTCATACGCTAGCTTTCTTTACTAAATACAAACATGCTTTGAGGTTACAATCTTACTCCAGACTCTCTTCCCAGCTCTGTTACACACTGTTCCCATACACAAACTTTATGTTCTTACTCCAGCCTCTCTTCCCAGCTCTGTTACACACTGTTCCCATACACAAACTTTATGTTCTAGCCACACTACCCCACTTGCTGTTCACACACATTTTATCTTATGCCTCTGTGCCCAAGCTGTATCCCATGTATGGGATAGACTCCCTCCTGACTTCAGTTTTTTGGAACCTCTAGCACTCTTCAATATTTAGATCAAATACCATCTCCTTCAGGAGGCTTCTCTTGTTTCTCATAA